TTTAAAACAAAAATGCATACATGGTATTCCCAATTTTTAGGCTTGTTCATTTTCTTTATTCTGTTTGACAGAGACTGCCTCAAAAGAGTGGTTGATGCCTCAGGACACTTCTTATCAGTGAAATCTGGGGGTAAAAAAAATGCCAAAAATTTGAATACTCTTATAGGCTTCTAAATCGAAAACTCATAAACGGGCAACCACAAAGAGCAGGATGAATTTTATTAATTTCGGTGCAATGTCTAAAATTAGTTATGGTAATCTCTAAAGAATAAAATGCAGATACCTTAAAAGTAGTGGTCCAATAAAAGTATTATTTCATATTTGTTATCTTGTACAAAATCTAAATATAATTTTAATATAAGTATTCCACTTGTAGCAAAATATTTTCTTCATTAACAGTCTAATATTAAAGTTTCTTCCCTCAAGTGCTATGCAGAACATATACAGTATACAGTAAGATATAGCTACTGTGTAGGTTAAGTCAGTAATAACCTTTTGATGGTTATTAATTGGTTACAAAGTGACAATGCAAACTTTCAGATTAAAATTTAAAGAAAAAAAATCAATGTCTCACCCAAATAAAAAAGCTTTACATGTTGATGTACCATTTATCTTTTGAAATATAAATCCCTTATTACAGTACATAAGCCTGCAGTATCTTCATTTAAAAGGTAAAACACAAACTTATTTACCAAATTACCTACCTGTTATGGCAGTAATTCAGATGGGATCCAAACGCTCTTTCTCTACCGATGTTCCAAATGTGCGTTGCTTTTCTTCCCTATTATGGATCCTTTTCTATAAGTAAACCATGGCCAATGTCAATCTATTGTAAGATAGATAATTATTTACTATTTATTAGTAAACTTTCCTCCCACATTTGCACATGCTATTAGTATTTGACTGTCAATGGACATCCATGGAAAATATTCACACCCCAGTTAAGTATACCATATTTTTTGGTCAACAAAAATATAATTACAGTATGCTTGAAATATTTCAAATTTTAATTATAGCATAATTGAAAGCTTCCTATGTGTAGAATATGAGTATATTAAAAAGTTCCAGCTATTGATGTTTTTGGGCATGACTTGTGTGGGTGTCTTATTTAAAATACCAATTATTATATAATTGAGGTCAGACAGTTGACAGTTAACAAGCATTCATTTTGAAAAAGAGTGAAGTATATTGAACTGTGCAATAAACAAGTCTCAATAATTTTAGTTGACACAAAATACAATAAATAAATGATATTTAAAGAAAAAAATGCATTTTTTTTTTCAAATTTCCTGCCTTGGGCAGGACTTAGGCCTAGGGCTTAGCTAGGCTAGGTACTGTAGGCCCTAGATTAAGGAAGAGGCCTAAGCCTAGGCTAGGCCTAGGTAGGCAAAAAAAACCAACGATTTTTCTTTTGTGTCCCAACGCCCGTACCTGACCTGTTGCACTTTTTTTTACACAATTCTTAGGTTTAGCCTAGGCCTAAACAGTACAGTATACGAACAGAAACACTGCCACTGCACTGACTGACGAACTGACTGAACTAAACTTGATACTTAGCTACAAAATTATACCTAGGCTAGAATAAGTAACTAGGCGTATATATGTGGAAGGCGTACATTTATGGACGAAAGGAGATTATTTTTTCTTTACTTACCACAATACTGACTGTGCATCCTAGGCCTAGACCTTGGCATGGTGCGGACTCTTCTCCTTTTTTTCCAATGGCAAAATAATAGGCCTAGCGGCTATCCTAGGCTAGGCTGAGTTTTAGCAGAACGTCCAAAATCCTTATTCAATCCATTTAACTACTACATAGACATTGCTACAGGTATTAACCATTTCAATAAAATATCAGTTTGCGATTATTAGTCCAATTATTACTGAACAAAAGGAGGACACCACAACAACAAAGGGAGCAGAGAGCGATGTCGATGAAGACCGTTCCGTTAGCTTTCAAATTTTACCACCCAGTTGTGGAATATACCATGTTTAATAGAGGGGAGGAGAAACAATTTAAGACCAGTTATAATTCTTATTAAATGTATTTGTATGAAACCTTCTGTAATTAATCATTTGTTTTGTGTAGGACTGTATAAAATTTTATAGCATTTCATTTCATACACTAAATAATTTATTAAATCGTACAACTCAACTCATAAGTTGGACCCCTATCACAGCCTGATTCATTGTCTGGTTATTGAAATCGATATCTATCTCTCCCATCTGGAATGATTAAAGTAGGTTTTAAGTTACACAACAGTAACTTTAAAATGGTCACAGTGGTAGTTTGTGGTTAAGGATTTTGTAAGATTAAGTATTCGTTACAAATATGTGCATTAAATTCATTTTTCATTTCAATTTTAAAATGTGTTGCAAGGCTAATTATTTGCTGTTAATTTAATGTTTAATTTAACTTAAATGTTTAATGTAACTTAAACGCTTAATTTAATATTTTTAACATTTTAACTTAAAATGTGAGCATGCTAATTGATACTGTAACTTATGCATCAGTTATACATTCCCAAACTGATATTCTATAGAATTCCTATACAACTTCTAAAGCAAATGTTATAGATGTCTATAGAATTTTCTATAGAATTTCTATACAGCTTCTAAAGAGAATTTTATAGATTTCTATAAAATTTCTCCAGAAATATGAAGCATAATTATTTGTGACAGAATGATACACATATTAAACCCTATACATTATTTAGTTACTCAACATCAGACCATGAGCCAAATGCAATAGTTTTATTTATTATTTTTTTTAATTATTATTATTTAATAATGTTTCATGTTCAAAACCAAGCTTCTGCAATAACACTTATTGAAAATTCAGTGTAGGTCACTAATACATAATTTGTGCAACAAACTAATTTTCTATAGAGTGGAATACAACATTCTATAGAAAATATTAAAATTCTATAGAATGCGTAAACTCTATACAACATTTCTATAGAATTTTGTTGCCTCTATAGAGTTACATAGAACTCTATATAAAGTTCTATAGAATTCTATAGAGCTCTATAGAACTTTTTTGTATGGGTGGTGTTGGCTCTGATGATATACTGTACTGTAGTGTTATAGCACATCACCTTTATTTAGACGGTCGCGCTTCGTTTAGAACAAATGTATGGAGCGCCGAAGGAGTTGCGAAAACGAAAAATTTAATATGCCTAGGCCCTATATATTTTAGTTCGTGAATCGGTTTATCATAGGCCTAAGTATTATTGTTTTGCTATCTTTCCACTAACAAAATATC